TCTGTAGGTAAATATTTGGGGACTGTAGATGTCCCTGCTCTTTAGCCGTCAGGATTAGTGCCTGAATACAAGTGTCAGGTTTCATTTTGTATTTTCTTTGGATGTAGCAACTTTACACAATTTGGGTCTACCTTGTTGTTCTAAATTGAGGCTCAAATAAAAAGAAATGCCTCTGCCTCTTTTTTTCTCTTTTTCTACTTCCTGCCTTCACCTCTTCGCCCCTCTTTTCCTTCCTGGTTTCCCTCCTCCTGCCAGGTGCTTTGGCTGGCCTGATTGACATTGCTGCTGACTGGATGAACGACCTGAAGGAGGGCGTGTGTCTGAGCGCCATGTGGTTCAACCACGAGCAGTGCTGCTGGACGTCCAATGAGACCACCTTCGCTGAGCGGGACAAGTGTCCTCAGTGGAAGAGCTGGGCTGAGCTAATACTGGGGCAGGCTGAGGTAGACTAACGCAGGCACATGCAAGCAACGTCCGCAACTGCAACAGCTTTCTTTGAATATTATTTTTTTAAGGGCTTAACATAGAGACAGGCATTTATTCCTAGTTTCCCCTCTTTTATTAGTATATTTTATTATTATTTAGCCATATTTTTTATCTGCTCCTGTTTGCCGCTAATGTAACCTCAAAACTCTTAATAAAATGTGCACTTACATTATTTACATCAGTATGTCATACTCACCACCCTGCTGCTTTCTTTTTCAATCGCTATCAAGTTATCGTCAGTGCTTCCACAATTGCTGCCCTCCTCTTCCTCAACTCTCTGCAGGGCCCCGGCTCGTACATCATGAACTACTTCATGTACATCTACTGGGCTCTGTCCTTCGCCTTCCTGGCAGTCTGTCTGGTCAAGGTGTTTGCTCCGTACGCCTGCGGCTCGGGGATCCCTGAGGTTAGGAAAATGTTTGAAACATGCTTACAGCTGCATGCTGGGACCATTTTTAAACTCTCAACATCCAAGAGTGGAGAGATTTCAAACGGCATCATTTTTTTTTCTTTTAAAAGGTTTTTGACAGATACAAATTCGGTTTAAGACTCCTGGACAAACTACTTTTTGCCATAGAAGGTATCAGTTAAATCAAACTAATGAGGTTAGCAGGTTATTTCTCTTTTTGTGTCCTTTCCTGTATCTGAAACAGACTATTGATTCTGTTTTATCTCTCATTTTCTCATGTCTGATCAATGTGCTCTGGCTGTCAGAAACTCGAAGTGGCACATGAAACGGAAAATCTATAAATCTCTGCTGCTGCTTCTTATCTCTCCATGAAAGTGGTCTAATGGCTTATGTGCAATATGTGGGATCCACACAGTGTGTCGTCACATTTATGGGTTTTCCTTTAACGTCCTGAAGTGCCTTAAAATTGTTAATTCAGTGAGCAGCAGGGAGACGTGACAGGTTTGTCCGTGCTGTGAAAAAGCCATTTTGAGGTGAGCTTTAAAAAAAATTCCCTTTTGTTGCCATGGGAACAAGAGAGCTGGAACTGCATTGCCAAGTAAAGCGTCTGGTAGATGAGACTTACGCTGACAACAACAGAACAGAGGACAAGATCAGGAGGTAGACATACAGCTGAATCTGCATAAAGAAATCGAAAATTGGCAACTTGAAAATATTTTATTAGACGTCGATATATGACATCATCTGTCTGCTGATTTTAATCTGAAATCCGAAATGACCCAACTTTGGTTATTTCCTGTCAGCTCTTTGCAATGTACTCTCTAATAAAGGTATAAAATGGCCTAAAAAATATAAAAGAAAGGGAAAGAGTCTTGAATTGATTGTATTTAATATGATGTTTGCATCCATAAAAGAACATAAATCACTCATTTACAAGGAAGTTAGTTCCAAGGGCTTTAAACGTCTTTCTCATTTACAAAATGAAGCAATTAGTTGATTGAATAAGTGATGGACAATCAGTTGGCAACTGTTTTTATAATGGGCAGAAAGGCAGCACAATGACTGGTTCCAGCTTCTATCACAATAAATGTAATATCTTTAGCTGTTGGTCAAACAAAACAGTCATTACCTTCAGCTCCAAGGAACTGTGATGGGCATTTGTCGCAATTTTCTGACCTTTTTAGTGGGAATCAAACCCACCCTTGTAGCTGGACTTCAGATTAATCTCCACCTTTCTTATCTTGTCTCCCCAGATCAAAACTATCCTGAGTGGGTTCATCATCCGGGGCTACTTGGGCAAGTGGACCCTGATGATCAAGACCATCACTCTGGTGCTGGCTGTGGCGTCTGGCCTCAGCCTGGGGAAGGAGGGCCCCCTGGTCCACGTGGCCTGCTGCTGTGGGAACATCTTCTCCTACCTCTTCCCCAAGTACAGCAAGAACGAGGCCAAGAAACGAGAGGTGAGAGAGAAGACATATAAAACAGTGTTACGGGAACATGAAAACTTTTATCCTCCCCGGTGTTCTATTGTTTATTGTGATGTTTTAGAGTCAGTGTAGTTGTTTGTTTCCTCATCACATCCGCTGAAGTGCGTTTCTTTTGTTCTCTTAGGTTCTCTCTGCGGCGTCGGCGGCCGGAGTGTCTGTTGCTTTTGGAGCCCCAATTGGAGGAGTGCTCTTCAGCTTGGAGGAGGTGCAGCACATGTCGTTGTTGACTCATGAACTGCCAAAAGAAATGACTCCTTCAACATCTAAACTCTCCTCACTCTCTTCCAGGTGAGCTACTACTTCCCTCTCAAGACGCTGTGGCGCTCCTTCTTTGCTGCCCTGGTGGCAGCCTTCGTCCTGCGCTCCATCAACCCGTTTGGTAACAGCCGCCTGGTGCTGTTCTACGTGGAGTACCACACGCCGTGGTACCTGTTTGAGCTCATCCCTTTCATCCTTTTGGGAGTTTTCGGAGGCCTCTGGGGAGCCTTCTTCATCCGAGCCAACATCGCTTGGTGCCGGCGGCGCAAATCGACACGCTTCGGCAAGTACTTGACTGACTTCATTTGAAATTGGGAAAATGTCAGCCAGCTCATATGTTTGAAGGTGAAAGTAGTTGTAATTGATGAGGCTGTCTGGAGGATCACTGTTAGCAGTTTGTACTAGCAGAAAGAACTCAAATGCCAGAATGATTAACACATGGGAATAAAAGGTTCAGGATGGCAGCTTCAACGTTATCTGCTGTCAGATTTTATATCAGAATCTTGTTTTAGTGCACATAACTTTGATGCTTTGTAACTTTTTGAATATGCATCAGTGTTAGACTTGAGATTCTTGTTAGAGGCACAGCACGCTGAGCGCCTCTCTCAGTCTGACACGTTGCATCGTCCCTCTCTTCAGGCAAGTACCCGGTGTTGGAGGTGATCTTGGTGGCGGCCATCACAGCTGTGGTTGCTTTCCCGAACCCGTACACGCGTCAGAACACCAGCGAGCTGATAAAGGAGCTGTTCACCGACTGCGGTCCGCTGGAGTCCTCGCAGCTCTGTCAGTACCGCAGCCAGATGAACGGCAGCAAGGCCTTCAGCGACAACCCCAACCGGCCGGCAGGGCCCGGCGTCTACGCCGCCATGTGGCAACTCTGCCTGGCGCTCATCTTTAAAATCATCATGACCATATTTACCTTCGGACTCAAGGTGATCACTGGATGTGTTTTCCTAACAGATGTGTTACCCTGCATGTCTTCATCAAAACTAAACCTTGCTCCTCCTCCTCAGGTACCGTCTGGTTTGTTCATCCCCAGCATGGCCATCGGAGCGATCGCAGGGCGAATCGTCGGCATCGCCATGGAGCAGCTCGCCTATTATCACCACGACTGGTTCTTGTTCAAAGAGTGGTGCGAGGTGGGAGCCGATTGCATCACGCCAGGGCTCTACGCCATGGTGGGGGCCGCAGCGTGTCTGGGTGAGTCATCATTTATCTATCAGTGCCAAGAGACAATAGAAATGTGTTACCGCTCACATATTTTGCTATATGTTTATACAGTGCCCATTGTCATTCCCATCAGGTTACTTTATCAATAAGTGGTTTCTCAATTGACTTTCTTTTACTATACCCTGATCCATATCACTATTAAATACTAAATGACACACTCTATCTATCTATCTATCTCATGTTATTGTCTCTTGATTTAAAGAAAACTGACAAAAAGCAGTTTTAATAGTTAATGAAGCAACTATATGTCTGGTATTTAACATTTCCCTCCACTCTCTGGCTATTAAAATGTTAATTCTGGTAAATATTAATTCAAATTCAGTCAAATTAATTCTTACTCTGCTCTCTCTTCAGGTGGCGTGACCCGTATGACCGTCTCCCTGGTCGTCATCGTTTTCGAGCTGACCGGTGGGTTGGAGTACATCGTCCCCCTCATGGCTGCCGTCATGACCAGCAAGTGGGTGGGCGACGCGTTTGGCCGCGAGGGAATCTATGAGGCCCACATCCGCCTGAACGGTTACCCCTTCCTGGACGCCAAGGAGGAATTCACACACACCACGCTGGCCAGGGAGGTGATGAGGCCGCGGCGCAGTGACCCGCCGTTAGCGGTGCTGACGCAGGACGACCTGACGGTGGAAGAGCTGCAGGCCACCATCAATGAAACCAGTTATAATGGTTTCCCTGTAATAGTGTCCAAGGAGTCCCAGAGGCTGGTGGGATTCGCTCTGCGCAGGGACATCACTATCGCTATAGGTAACTCGACAGAGTAGGACAGTTTTCGGAAATAGTTCCTCCCACATTTCAGTGCAAAATGTGAGAACAGGAAGAGAGCAGTAAGAATGGGTTTAGTAAAGGTTTGCACAAAGAAAAGTACACACTAAATCACCAAAATGACCACATTTGGACATGTTTAAGTGTCTTTAAGCAAGACATTGAACCCCAGATTGCTCCCAGTGTGTCCCAACATGAAAAAGTTGCCAAAGCCAAATGATGATAAAATAATATGTCTCTCTTAAACTTGAGTATTTCCTTGTTCCTCTCTCAACAGAAAATGCTCGCCGAAAGCAGGAGGGCATCATGCTGAACTCCAGGGTGTACTTCACCCAGCACGCACCCACCCTGCCTGCCGACAGCCCCCGGCCCCTCAAACTGCGCTCCATCCTGGACATGAGCCCTTTCACCGTCACCGACCACACCCCCATGGAGATCGTGGTGGACATCTTCAGAAAGCTGGGGCTGCGCCAGTGCCTGGTCACTCACAACGGGTAAGTAGGAAACAAAATTGTCTTAGGAGGAAGGATGTGCTGTAAGAACAGAAGGCGAATCCTTCTCACATCCTTCCTTGTGGCGTTGTTGTGATCGACTAACCCGTCTGAGGTCGACAGACATTGCACAAACACATGTACACACTGTCTGGTGTTGCATGGGCTCTCAGATCCCCTGGGTTTACCCCTGTAATCTGCATGGCCTGGCCTAACCGCTGTGCTGCACTTCCTTCACCCCCTACTGAACAATAACAGCCTCCTCAGTAGAAGAGACTGAGCTGCTGAAACTAACTACAACTACATAACAGGTATCATGTTGGGAAATAGAGTCAGTAAAATCAGTCGATGTGTGGTCTAAAAATGTACAGTTAGTGAGAATAATCTGTCAGAGGAGATCCGGTCGAGGTTTTAGAGATTTGAGGTTTTGCAGAGAGCCACCTGCTGGTGTGATCTAGTATTTACAAGATAGATTGCGTTCAATAGCTGTCATACTCCTTGATTTACAGATCTCTTCCCTCAGTTTGCTGCGACAATCACTAGAGAGCAGCCGCGCAGCACTGTTTTTTTTTATATTAACATCTTTATGTTTAACTATTTTTATTTACATTTTAAAACTATATAAGTAATTTACCAAAGCAGCTGGTTACTATGGGGACTATTTTCTTGTAAATTAACACATTTGGTGCTCTAGTGAGTATTTACAGCAGCCAGATGGTGTATGTTAGATGCACATAAAATAAACTACAATTCTCATGTTATGTTATAATGTGTCTATATATTTATATATATATATAGACATATATTTCTAGGAACAATTCATTGTTGTTTTTGTTTTTTATTAAAATTAAGAGAAACAGAATATATTTTAAACGAATTTCCAGAAGATTATCCAGATAAAATGCTAATTAAAGTGCTTTTCCATGCACTTATATCATGTTGTTGCTTAGTTGGTGGCGCTAATTCTCCAGTCGTAGAGCCATTAAACCATTGCAGCAGAAGAAGGCACAACAAGATGACGCCACCTCAAACCACATGATTAAATATATAATAGTTTATTGGATGAGTTACATATGATCCATCATAATTGAAATTAATTTGTAACATTAAGTTTGATAAAGTTTTGTTGTTTTTGTGTTAATTGAGTTTGTTGTAATTTTTGAGTTGTATTTTCTGTTAACGTTAAGTTTAATATTTTAAGTTACACCTGTTATGTATGTTTTGTGCTGCTGCTGTCTGTTCTCTCTCTGTCTCTCTTCTGTTTGTTGTTTATGTTTATTTGTTGTCGTTGTTTTTTGGGCAGTTTACCGAGTAACGGGTGTGTGTTTCAGGATTGTGTTGGGCATCATCACAAAGAAGAATATATTAGAGCATCTGGAGGAGCTCAAGCAGCACACGGAGCCCCTGGTGACTAGCCCCGCCCCTTTACACATGTGACCCCCTTCCCCCCCACTTTCGCACCTGTCTCTTAGGCTCCGCCTCTTAAGAGGGATGCATGAAACTTGGTGTGAGAAAACTGTTGACAGTTCCCGGCTAAACATTAAGCCTTTCTTTTTTACTTCTTTTTCTTACTGTTCGCACTCTGTTGTTCGTGGGTTGGTTTGGTGTGGATTCACCTCTAATGAAGTCGTTCATCGTAGAAAAACATCTGTAGATAGACGTTCACTGACCTCATCTTCATCGCTGGTAGCAGTTGCAGATATTATGCGCCACTGTGTAGAAAAAGCCTTCCTCTGTTTTGCGGGTCCTGTAATGTCGGACCTCTGTGGGAACTGTCATCCACATCAGTCTAGAGCCCCTTTCAGACATGTGCTTCATTACGTAAATTGTGCTGGCAGTTTAGCATATTGATGTTAAGCCCCCGAGGTATTTTACTGTAAAACTTGTGACTGCACTCTTACTACGTAGGACCTTGTAACATTGCCAAATGCGGCTGAGGTCTGAATTAAACAAGGTCACATTTAGGCTACAGCAGCACAGAAAGTGAACCTATAGAGATTTTAAATGAGACCTTTTGATACTTAAAATATATTACGTTTAATGAAGCAAGAAACACTATGATTGAGCCAGTTTTAATCAGCTGCAGGGGACTTCCAGTGTCAGATAGAGTCTAGAAAAATATGTGTTCATTAATTTTTTTCTTCCTCTCATGGGGAAAAAAAGAATAAAAACAACCATGGAAAATTGTTACGAGTATCCTTAAATCCTCAGCTGTAACTTATTTCGAACTGCTGACAGTGTGAATATCCAGAAAACAAGTTTACATACGGCACGTGAACAACATTAAATGAGTCATTGTTAACTATGCTTGAGCACTGTCACATTGTAGGCGATAAAAGAGGCAGCTGAATTATTTATTTTATCTGATAAATGATGACATTGATGATGAATTCTCATTTTATTCTGAAATCTGGGTTACAGGACCAGTGAGAAGCTGGGCATCCCTTGTGCTAACGATGGTCATTTATTAAGCCACGGAGATTGACGGTCTTTCAAAATAAGTTTTAAAATCCATGAGAAAACTTTTCTTCCTCCATGTCATTATTGTCCAACTCACTGCAGTCGCTGCTCCCTCTCAAGAAATATTATGCAGCTCTCTCCGTAATGGTCGTGTTTGACTTCAGCCATTATGGGACATTAACGTAAAGGAGGTTTATTATGAGTTCAAATAAAGGTCAGTAAGTTTTGAGGTGGTGAAATGATGTTCAGAAATAATTTCTTTTGACATTCGGCATAAAAACAGGGCCAAATATTTTTTGATATCCGCATGTGAACAAGGGCTTGCAAGGTGCTTGTTACCTACCGAACCCTCCGCAATAGAGGAGTGGAAATATATATATATAGTAAATGACATTTATGTTATTTATGGAAAAGAAAGATAACCTTTTTTTCTTCATCTTAAGAAAAATGTGTTCATTAAATCCTGGACCAAGCGGGTCAAATATGTAAGGCCCAGAATGAATGACCCTGTAATGTTGTTTTATTCTAGCAACCCTTTTTTTTTTTATTGCTCTTTTTGCACACTTTACCTCTTCCAAAATGTACAAAGTTTGTATAAAAAAAAAAATCTATGGAAGGCAGAGGAAATAAATCTGCTGTTGTCCTGATGTATGTTCTGTAATATAAACTTCTGCCCCGAAATAAAGAATTTACCAAAAAAAACTGCTGAGCCAAAAAGTGCAAGATTTGTACTTTGATGAATGTGAAAACAGTGTCAGACTCTGCACATGCATCATTCTGCACGGTGAAGCTCAAACATCTGTACAACTGTAGGAACAATAAGCTAAACGCATTTTTTGGGGGGAGCGTCTGTGTGTCATCCTCACTCTCTCCCTCCTTTCCTGTCACTCTCCAGCTGTCACTATTGATTTAAGGCAATAAAAGCCTCCAAAAAAAACAACAACAAAAAACAGCATTTTGGAGTGGAGGGAGACTTGAACTTCATTGTCACACAGTTTTCTTTTTTTAATCTGCACTGAGATGTTTTTCCTCATACTCTTCACCTCATTAATCCAGTTTGTCCACAAATGATATAGATATATATATACGACCAGACTTTCTAATTATTTATGAACATCATTTCACAAGCTCAGAGTTCACCCTTATTTGATCCCGTAATCTAATGTCAAGAAGCAGATAGATGAAGCCAGCGATGTTACTGTTTCCGTGTCTGAAAAGGGCTCCGTAGATTCCCAGAGTGCAGCTTTGCCGCTCATCCCCATTGAAGTGCATTTGTACAAACTGTTAGCTCTGCTTAGTGCTCTGTCAGCTGCATCATGCTAGCACCTTTTTAAATAAGATTTTTTGTTGTTTTCTGCCTTATAGTAACTACACAGCTTTAGATGTGCTTTGGTGTAATTCTGATGTTATGCTGTGTAATCTATCAGAGATCCGACAGTAGATATCATTTCTCAGCATGTTTCCCATCTTCCTTTCACATCAGTAGTCGGTCATTTCATCTTGAGAGTACACCCACCCTCATTTTTCTCCATTAACGACTGCTTTCTTCTTTTTTTTCTTTTTGTAAACCCCCCTCCCCCCTTCTCGACCACCCCGTTTCGCCCCCGGGTCTCCACAGATTGACGACATCTGACCCGTCTCCTTAACAACCACTTGGCGAGTAGCTAGCCGCCTTGGGAAAGCGGACCACCATTCATTTTAATATTTTTATTCTTTAGATCTGTTAGTAGAAGGGGGAGGGAGAGGATATTGTAGTGATACGATTCATTCCCACACTTCCCTCATTCTTTAGTGGTAGTGAATGCTGTGCTGGAGTGACGTTGTTGTGTTGATTGGTGCTAGTAGTGCTGTAGTAGCCTATAGATAGTCAGCGTGTGGTGATCAAATGACCTTGATGAAGCAATAACTGATCCTGCGCTTTTAACCTACCAATGTTTTTCTCTCAGCCAGCTGTGTCCTGTTGTGTCAGTTATATTCTTAAAAAAAGAAAATGGGTGGAAAAAGTCACACTCAGTGAACAAAGAGGCTCTTTGAACAGATTTATGTTCAACTGGAAACCTTGTTTGTAGTCGTGAGAACAAATGAGCCCATTAACATTATGATAAAAGATCTTTTATATTAATATTGGCACGAGTAACGCATTTCACTGAGTGCTTCATCGGGCTCCACAACAAGCCAAGGTTGCACATTAATACACGAGCACAGTACATGTGCTAATGACAGATGGTTCCCATGGGACGTTAAAACAGGTTTAAATTTAGACAAATCATCATCGTCGATATGTCTCTGTGTGGTGACACAGCCTGTAAAGCAGCTGACAGGTGAGGTTGAACAAATACAGAATGAAGAGATTGGAAAAGAAAACATCCAAAATATATGAGAATTAGACAAAAAACTAACTTTTTAGAGGCATTTGGCAAAAAAAAACCAGCAAAAATCTGAGAAACATAACCAACTATACAATTTATAACTTTGGTTATAAAGTTTAGGAACTATTTTTTTTTTGTTTTTCTATTACATTCTTTACACCAAAGGCCAAAACAAACCAACACATATACTGAATTAATCCATTTACACCTGTTTTCGGATGGTTGCTGAGTCATTCTGGGAAATGTAGGAAATCTTTAGCTGCAGTACAGATTGACTCTTAGCTCTTAAATGTAAATTAAAAGAAACATTTATCTTCAATATGTCTTATATTTGGACTTTTTTTGACCTGTGAATAAATGTTTTTTCATCATCA